CGGCGTAGGCTGGGGCCCTTTGCCCCCGAGCATGCTCCGAGGCCGGTGCCAGCGGGCCCCCCCCCACAGGCATTGGGGGAGGCAGCCAGAACTCAGCCCCTCTGTCCCCAAGTCCAGGCGGATGCACCTGGGCCGGTCCCACAGGGCCAGTGGGGTTGCCAGGCAACTCCCCCCACCGCCCTGGGGCCATTCAGCCAGGCACGGCCCCCTGGCCTGGGGCCACAGGTAAACTCCCAGGGCTGGTTTGCCACGGCAAGGGGAGGTGGCACAGATGGGTGCCTGCCATAGCACCAGGCTGTCTGCCCTCCGGGCCCCCTGGCAGTGGGCAGGCGCCAGGCCCTAGCACCAGCAGCTGGCCTGGACTTGGTCTTCGTGCCCAGGGGAGAGGCCTGGGCTCGGGGCGCTGGGCGGATCTAGACTGGCTTGCCAGTTATGCTGGGACTGGGACCTGGCTCCGAAGGAGGGCCTGAGCCCCTGGAGAGGCCAAGCCAAGTCCCACCAGGGTGGGGTCTCTTGGCGTCCCCCTGGAGAACCAGGAGGGGCTGTAGGACACATGGCAACTGGATGGAGAAGGAGAAATATGGACTCCCCACCCCACCCATTGTAGCCCCTCAACCTCTGTTCTTGCCTCCATCTTTCCCCCTCCAATTCCCCATCCCTGGCTCCCCCTAATTTTGGATCCGATGGGCTTGGTAGTCCCTGAACCCGGCGGGCTTGGAAGGTGGCGGAGCGACACTCCCTTGTCCGCACAGCAAGGCTGCGAGATCAGCTTCAAACTGGCTCCAACCCCCATGTGGGCGCTCGGATTTCAGGCTCAACACAGCTGCCCGAAGTTGGCTTCAGCCTCTTCCCGCCCCACAGAACCGACGTTGGCCTAAGCCTCGTTTAAAGTGGAGTAAGCCTGTCCACACAGCCTAACAAAACCGGCCTCAAACCGGCTTGACGTTCAGCTGCTGCTGCTTTCCCGGGGCCAGGCCAGAGGGCGCGCGCCAGAGCCTGCCTCGTTCTCTCCATCCGAACGGGGGCGAGAAGGAATCTCGTCCACACAAGCCCACAGCTCGGGCTTTGGGCGTGTTTCCCGAGCGGAAGTCGGGAATGTCCTTGGGGGTTCTAGGGACGAGATGATGCCGCTGAGACCGGACTGCCAGGCCGCCAATGAACCGGCAGCCAAGGCCGTGCGGACGCTCCGAGGTGGGGGCTGATTTCGGGCTCCGCTGCAGGCAGGTTCGGTCCAACGCCAAACGAGCGGGAATGGCGCCGATCCCGCGGCCGGGTTCACAAAGCCCCGCTGAGGCCTTGCCCACCCCCCCGTCCTGCTGTCCCTCTCCCACACGGAGGCAGCCAGGCTGGTGCAAAGGGGTTTTCGTGGCATCACGGATTCCACCCCGCCTGGGATAAGGCGCCGTGGTCCCCGTGGGATGCAGGTCTCCGCTGCTGTCGCTGTCAGCAGCAAGTCCCTCCCCTGGACCGCGGGGAAGCCCGGGGGCAGCTCAGGCCTCGGCTGAGCCGCTGCGACTCCCCATGCGGCCAAGGCAAGGAAGCAACGGGGGACCCTTCTCCTTGGCCCTCTCCAGCCTGCTGGCTCTGTGCCCGCGTTCCCTGGCTTTGCCAGCCCCCAAGTCTCCACCCAGCCCCTGGCACGTACTGGGCAAGCCCAGTGAGACCCGCAGCTGCCCTCGGCCATGCCCCATTGCCCAGCCCCACAGCCCTGGCAGCCTGCCTCCTTGCTCAACCGCACCGTTAAG